TTTCACCCCTTCACCCACCTTCAACATTTCGGTCTCCAGATGTTGTACACAGTATTATTAATCCATTATTATTTTCAGCTGCAGCACATTAGCTACCCACTTACAATGATGTCAGACCTTGACACTGATAGCGTGCTTACTTATCTTTACTGTAATAATATGAGGATGTGACGGATGATTGTGTCACATGCTGCCCACCATGAGCTTTGTCATTATTAGTGAAGGGTGAAAATTTGTGCTGCTGTTCCAAGTGTCAGCAGATTTTAAAACACCTACACTTGTCATACAGGGATAAAACTCTCAAGAACACATTTTTACTTTTTAATAAAAAGGGATGTCTGATGAAAGCTGATTCAAACTGCGAAAGAAAAAAAAAACTTGACATTTATCCTCTAAGATCTAATTCATTATTAATGTCAAGTGAATCCTTCTTTCTTTTCTTTGTCTAGGGAGTTTGTGCTGGATGGGTCGCAGCGGGAAATATTATTTGCATGTGTTTCATCTCACATGTCCCAAGCTGTGCTTCACACTAAAGGCATTATGAGCCATGAATGATGATGCATTGTTCTGCCATGCACACACACACACCCACACACACCTGTTCTCACACGGTGGGAGGCTCACATAAAAACAAATCTATGCTCATGAAAGGGTATGATAGGCCCTGTCGCTTGTGTTTTCTGTGTCAGGCATCGTTTAGAGAGATATAAACAACCACCTTGTTACACTGCATAATATCCCTTAGAGCCTGGATTTGACTCTCTTCCGTGGATGCGTTAAGAAAATTGCAAATAATTTGCGGTGTTTGTTGTTGCTCCTTGGAGGAGAGGTGAGGTGGACAGGTTTGTAAGTCAAGGCTTTTGAACACGCTGATTAAAATGTCTTTCTGTGGATTTCCTGATTGTGGTAACAATGTGGCAATCGCTCTCTTCCTCTTGGTTGTAAAGCCCACCCACATGGGATTGCGAGCGAGATCAATCAAATGCAAATACTGTTAGATCCAGGTCTGCTTTGTTGTAATGAATTCTCTGTCTACTCTGCTTTGTCTCAGATTTGACCTGATGTCATGTCAAATAACGCAAAGATGCCAGCAAACGCTGCTGCATTTCCTCTGCCAGCCATTATATCATAGCTAGAGGTGCTGAAGTGACCTGTATCTGCTCTGGTATGGTTGTCTAGTGGACAGCGAGGGGGCAGGGGCCATTTGCTCTATCTCCCCCCTTCTGATTTAATCGCCCCACAGGGACCTGCTTAGGCTATCCACTTCATGATTCCCATTTGGTGGTTAGAACCCTGATGGGGGTGTTTAAGGCTTAACGTCCCCATTTGTTTTCCTGTAGGTAATCAATGGCAGACTCAGGGTTACAGCTAATGTGATTTATGTGTCCTATTTCCACTGTTATGCTTCATGTACAAATTGTCTTCGGTGAAGTAAATTCCCCAATCTTCTCCCAGCTTGCTGACACTGAATACCGGCTGCCAAACCCAAACGATTAATCCATGTTTGTGTCCAGGTCCTTTTGTTTTTTTCCTCTTAAACAATCTGCAAATCATGACATACTGTAACAGTGAAACTTGAGTCGCCCCTTATCACTCATCTTTATGTACAATGAGCTAAAATTTCAAAGATTTCACCCACACGTCTTGCAGAAACATCGTTTTAAGCCTCACGTTAATGGGAAGGTGTTTCTATTTGGATTCGGTGCAGAGCAGCACAGTGAAATTAATCATACCCCACTCTTGACTCTTAAGTAAATCATCTGCAGTCGAAACACAAAGCAAATCTAATCAGCCTATTCATTCAGTGATGCATACCCTTGTGATTATGCCACTACCTGCAGCACTTAGGTGCACATTAATACCCTCTTTCAGTGTTGCTCTGGGGGAACATTGATGCAATTAATATGAATTGTGTGAGAAAACGACATACTGTGTTTAAATATCGGACAATAAAACCTTAATCAAGTGGACGTATGTGCTGTATCTTTGTAATAACTTTGAGTAAAAACCTTGTAGATATTTTCTTCTTGCAAAAATATCCTAATATCGCCCATCGACTGTCGACTGTCGGGGAATTAGGTGAGAGAGGGGTCCACAAACAGTGGCCACAAATGGGAAAGTAAAGAAAGTAAAGCTGCTTCTTGAGCTACGAATTGCAACCAGCCATAAGGAGAGTCTCCTCTTGAAAGCACATTTTCTTATAGCTCCATTGTTTAGAAAACACACTATGTGTTATTTAAGCTGAGTTCAAGGTACAATGTGCAGCGGTGAATTCCTCCCATGATATCTCTTTTGACAAGATGAGAAAACACGTTTCTTAAGCTGCTGCACTCGGTTGTCAAGGGAACATTTCTGAAAAATGGAGTGTTATGCTCTGAGAAAGCATGCTCAAATATTTGCATAAAGCCAAATACCATGTTTAGAGACAAACAGATTGAACTGCAGGTCCAAAAGATGAGATGACGAGGCCCCTGCTGTAGCCATTCCATTGCTTTTCTCTTTTTGTGCCTTCTGATAGTTGATTGTCAATGCTGATGCTAGACAATATTATGGAGAATGTGACTGGGGGTTTATTGTCTGCTATCTGTTGTGTTAGCTGCCTGGAGCTGAACTGTGATGATGCAGTGTCCCTGTCCAAGAGCCAAGGACAGTCCTCTGCAAGAGGCTGAGCAGACTCTGATGGACGAAGGAGAGAGGGCACAAGAGGACAGAAGACTTCTGAAGCACTCTTGGCATCAAATATAACATCTTGCTTGTATAACAGTATAATTACATTAATCAAGACTGAGATCTTTGACAGCAGCTGACAGTAAAAAAAACAACAACCCCCCCTCCCCCCCCCCCCAGCATAAACACGTGTGTAAATCAGCTTTCTATAAAAGCGACAGTGATGTGATATCCTCACAGATTTAATGATGACAATACATAAATGCTGAGCATTTATAAGATAAGATAAGATAAGATAAGATAAGATAAGATAAGATAACCTTTATTAGTCCCACACGTGGGAAATTTGTTTTGTCACAGCAGGAAGTGGACAGTGCAAAAGTTATGACGCAAAAATAACTGAAGATAGAGAGCAGATGTGACTCAGTCCGAGCCCAGGTTAACTGCCCTGTTTAATGGAGAAGTTATATAGTCTTGGACTCCATTATATATATAACAAAAGGCATGTAAATGAAGATATAAATTATATATTAGTGGACGAGATGTGGGAGGAATAAGAAAGAGGAGAACACGCGGTGTATCAATCTCCATACTGATTCTAGGGGGAGTGAACCTATTAAGATCACAGGGCTGTTCCCGAGCGGTATAGGCAAACCATCTACTGATTTACATTACAATTCAGGCGTTCAGCCGACACTGATACCCATGTGGCTTTGAGTGAAATAGTGTAGCAGGTGTAGCACCTACCGTAAGTGCCCTGCTCATGGACACATTTCTGTTAGTGTGTGTCTGCTGCCTGTTGTGGGGATCAAACTTGTGACCTTTTCCTCAAACAACCACCCAGCCGCCATCTTTAATAATCAGTTAAATATGTTGCAGTAGCATTTTGTACCAGCTGGTATTAAACTGATGACTGCAATGTGTTGTGATTGTCAAAATGCATTAAAATGTTGTGGATGGAACATCAACTTTACAGTTTGCAAAGAAGGGTATAATTCATCATCATGGCCCAATTATGGTCGATAAATCCAGAGGAAATAGTCAATAAGAAATCTGTTGAAAGGCAAATGGCTGCTTCACTTGACTTCTTTTTCAGACCTCCATATGCTTCCATGATAAAGGCATGATAGAAGTTATAAACAGCCGTGGTTGCAGGTGTCAGCTGATGCGCAGCTGGTAATTCTGTAACCATATCCATTTGAGTGCAAAAAAGAAAAAAACAACAAATAAAAAAAATCAGCATGATTGATTGCAATTATGTTTTGTTGTCATTCCAGAGTCGGATGAAAAGTGCAGCCACGGTTGCATAGAAGACCAATAGTTTTTGACTCTTCAATAACCGCAATTCATGAAGTGAGCAGTAAATGGCTTCATACTGTACTAATGAAAGCAGTTTGGTTCCTCTGAGGGAGGATTATCCCTAATTGGCCCAGCTGGATAAACAGAGCTGGTGGTGTTAGCATACTGCATGGCAAAGCAAACACACCAACCTATTCCTACCTTTCTAAAAAAATTAACTTTCTTTTTTTTTTTAGAAAGGTATTATCTCCAAGCCCAGGCATTATTACATCTCAGGGGATAAAAATGTTTCCTTTGACATTTGGTCCCACCCAGCACATCTCCCGGTGTTCCTTTTTCCTCTCCTCAGTTCGTGTCATCCTTCCTCCTCGTCACTTTTCCCTCCCTTTCTTTTTCTCTACGTCTGTACCTCCCCATCTCTTCTCACCCCTCATCTCTTTGGGTTACTGGCCCTGTCTTAGTCTCCTGATTCAGTGCTCCATTGGTAGATCAATAGAAAGGCTCTCTGTCAAGAGAGGCGTTGAAACCCCCCCCCCCCCCCCCAATACCCCCATCTTCCTCTCTTCAATCCCCCTCCTACCCCCACCCCAACCTCCCCATGTCTCCCCAGATGACTGCAGACACACATCCTCCTGGGAAGCTGGCTTTCTACATCCCATACTGGAGAGCATCTCCCCCCCTCTCCTCTCCGGATCACTTTTCATCTCCATTCACCTCGAACTTGGGAGAGGTAGAACTGCACGGCGCCATAATGGGCTTTTTAAAGAAGACGGAGACCGGAGGCTTTTTCTGGGAGCCAAAACAGAAAACAGCCCGAGAAAATAGGATATCAGTGCAAGACACAATGTGAAAAGCAGAAAGGGAAGTGAGAGAGGTAAAGAAAAAGAAAGGCAAGGGAAAACAGGATGAGAGAAAGAGAGAGAAGTTGTGCATTCAGCTAAGCTGCAGAACGCTGGCTCCCTCCCCAACCCCTTTCCCACCCTGCTTTTCTCCACCCCCTGGAAAAGTGTTCTGTCTCTCTCTCTCTCGCTCTCTCTACCTCTTTTCTCTCTCCTCTCTGCAGCTGTGGTCTGCTGAGTGTCACCTCCACACAGCAAGTGCCTTTACTTGGGCAGAACAGGGAGAAGGAGCGTAGCTGTGAGAGAGACACACGGAGAGAAAGGGGGAAAAAATCTCAGGAGTGTGTCTCAACGCACCAGAGGAGCATCTCTCTGACTTCGGAGAGGGCTGAAGAGCGCACAGAGACTGACGGGCAGAGACAAGCAGCGGCGTTGGAGTATAACAGTGCTGGTGGTGTTGGCAGAGCACGCCGAGTGGACACAGGGGAATCCACCGGCGCTGTTGATCCTGGTGTCCCTGGCAAGAAAGAAACAACAACAAAAAAACTGCTTGAGCGGGAGACAGAAAGCGGTGCAGCAGCCAGGATCTCGCCAGGGGGGCAGCATTTTACAGCGACAACGAAGCGTGGAGACAGCTGAAACCTGCGCGCAGACACACTCTTTCTCCCTCACACGCGCGCATGCACACACACACATGCAAACAGTGAGTGTGAGCGAAAAGGGACGCTCGCGGTGCTTTCAAAAGAGCCACAAAAATCCTTCTTCTTGTGAAACGCACATACTTGCACAGGAAAACAACACAAAACATTTCATCTTCTTCGGCCAGGGATGGTGGATGATGAAGGAGAAAACTTCTGGAGAGGAAATTGTCTTTGAAGCAGGACTTACTGCTGAGGTTTTGTATTTTTAATCAACTTTGTCACCACCACCCTGTTTTTTTCTTTTTGAAGTTGGGGCATTTTAAAGCCTCCGTCTAAGCACAACAACTAAACAACCTCTATTCTTAGAGGCAGAAATTGAGAGCTGTCTTTGTGACCATCAAGATGTCTATTCCTGATTCGGTCTGATTGGTAAGTGGATTATGACGGCAAGATTTGGGGATTTTTCTTTCACCTGAAGAAAGAAAGAAGGAAAGAGCGACAGAAACCTATCCATGATTGGTGGATTTATGGCTGTCAGAGAAGGAGAGGATCCCTTGCCTTTTCTCCTCTCTTCTCCTGTGGATTACAGATGGGCTTTGTGATCTCCCAGTGCAGTCTCATGGATGATCGCTCGCTGCCAGTCATTAGGATAAAGTACAAAGAGGGACACAAGTGAGTATTCAGCTGGATTTTTATCTCTCCAGCTTAAGCTTGCATGAAAACAAGGGTGTCGAGAGTGAATCTGTAACGAGAGCACATCGCAGCAGCTTTTCTCTTTTAATAAGAGAAACTGCAACTCGCTGATTAAACTGTTGTGTTCCCTGAATAATTATCAGAGCGTAAAAAGGTAGGCACATCCTGAGATATTAATTCACAGACAAGTGAAGCTGTATGTTTACAGACCGTTTACCAATTAACACAATTTACTAAATGAGGGGTGCTGTCTACCCGGCAGGTGGCTTGGGCACAGGCGGAGATTGATTGAAGTGATCTGTGTGAATCCTATTAATGCATCCTGGATTGTGGCCAAGAAAGAAGCAATGGAGGGGAACACCGCTGTCTAGCAGCGCTATCTGATCTGCCTCTCACTGGACAACTGAGGACCCTCTGCACTCCCTCTTCAACGACAAACCTCCTCTTCTTCTTCTCAGACAGGCAAGGATGGTACCCCCGCCTCCCACCAACAAACCCCACGTGTGCTTGTCCACCATTCTGATCATGAGCAGCATGGCGCTGATTGATGCCTACCTGGTAGAGCAGAATCACGGCCCCCGCAAGATCGGCATCTGCATCATGGTGATGGTGGGAGACATCTGCTTCTTAATTGTCTTGCGTTACGTGGCAGTGTGGGTGGGCGCCGAGGTGCGCACAGCGAAGCGAGGCTACGCCATGATTCTCTGGTTTCTTTACATCTTCGTGCTGGAGATCAAGGTTTACTTTGTGTATCAAAACTACAAAGCAGACAGGAAGAGCTTGGACGCTCTCGCGAGGAAAGCCTTGACCTTGCTGCTGTCTATTTGCATCCCAGTGCTGTTTGTGGTGCTGGTGGCTATCGACCACATGGAGTATGTTCGAGCCTTCAAGAAGCGCGAGGAGATCCGTAACCGCCTCTTCTGGGTGGTGGTGGACTTGCTGGACATACTGGACATCCAAGCCAACCTGTGGGAGCCACAAAAGAAAGGGCTTCCTCTGTGGGCCGAGGGCCTGATGTTCTTCTACTGCTACATCCTCCTGCTCGTGCTGCCCTGCGTGTCCTTGAGCGAGATCAGCATGCAGGGCATCAACATTGTCCCCCACAAGATGCTCCTGTACCCCATCCTCAGTCTTGTGACCATTAACATCATCACTCTGTTCATCCGCGGGGGGAACATGCTTTTGTACAGGGACGCCAGGGTATCTGGGATCCTAATAGGAAAGAACATCTTGGCCATCATCCTAAAGACCTGCAGCTTTGTGCAGTACAGGAGACAGTTGCAGAACGCTCCTCCCGCCTTCGGGGTCGAGCTGCAGAAAAACTCAGTGGCCCACGCTCGCCCTGCCCCCACCCCTCCTCAAGTGGTAATGCAGGACCAGACACCCCTCCCCGAGGTGACTACTTGCGAACACACATGACAAAACAGCGGGGCGAACCCTGGAAATGTCAATACAAGTGTATATGACCCTCAGGACGCTGGCGGGGCACAGTTTTCCACACCTTTTAGGGCATGCGAACACTCATGTGAACACACGGGAGATCAACATCTCCTCTGATGCTTCATGGCACAGAGAACACTGCAGACACTTAGTGATGATAGAGCGTCGGATCCAAAGCTGTCATTGGTGCAAAATACAGTATTATTTGTGACTTTGTTAAAGCGTTTCCTCCAGTAAATCCAGTTACCTGTGTATTTTTTCTAATTGTACAACTGAAAGAAAAAAGAAAAACAACCTATTGCAACTATTGCAAGATTAGAGGAATATATTTTTGAATTGTGTGTGTTGCATTCTAATCTTAAATTTAAGGGTCTGTGTGGTGTGGTGTGCATTTTCTGTTCCTCGATTGTTCCTTGTAGTCGAGGGCTTCAACGTATCAGATTTAGAGGGAGCAACCAATGAGAGAATCAAACAGTTAAAAGCTTTCTCTGGAAAGAAGTGTTTTTATATGTGATTCTTTGATAAAGTATTGTGTACAAGATAAAGGCTCTCCTGCGCTCTCACTGGCTGTAAAAGGGGTTTTTCATAAAGGCATTTGAAAGTTACTGGACCAATCGACTATATTTCACCTTTTAATTAAAATTCAGCAAATGTTCTTTAATTAACCTGGGATACAAAGAAAGACAGACAATGATTTTTTCCCCCCTTTTCTCACTCTGGTTCAATCTACAATTAGAGGCTGCTTAACTGGCAAAGTGGTGCCTTTGCAGTGTCATTCATCTTGAGAGTGATCATACATTCCAGGGTGGCAATTTTGGGGGACATTTGAAATGAATTATCTGCACAGTTATGAACCGTTTTATCACAGCAAAAGGCTCACTGAGATGCAGTTAGCCACAGGATAAAGTACACAGCCGAGGGCCGGCACTGCAGACGGATAAATGATTCCCAAATAAGGAAGCCCGTTTAATATCCTCCTCAGGCAAACAGTAACTATCTGTGCTTGCGCTTCGTGGCGGCAGCAGTTCTAAGCACTGTCATTTTGTTCCTCACACAAAAGACAAAATGGATACCTCGGTCCAGTGATGTGAATCCATGCAACAAGCCAAGAAAACATCATGTCTTCTAATATGATAAATCTCTTTCAGCCCTCAGCTCTCCGCCACCAGTTGAGTCAGAGCTGGAGCTTGTTTGCAATTTCAGCGATGGACACGCTTAAATTTTTTGCTAAATCTCAATATGAATGTCAAAGACAGAAAAAAATGCTGGGAATGACATATTTGCTGCAAAGAATATTTTTTACTGGGCCTTCGCTATCTATCCGAAACATAAAACTGAAGGTCAGGTGCTTTAATTTGATGCAGTGCACAAATGACACTGGCAGAGGTGCCACAAAAATGTGAACAATGTTTTTGCAAAAGGTTCCTGCTCTTGTTCTTTTTATTTTATTTTATTTTTTTGCATAATCTTTCTCACTGCATGCATAATGTAAAAAGCACAATGATTATCGAAACCAGTGTTTTTTATCTATGCAAGGCTCAGTTACAGGAATGTAGCAGCGTTTGGTGGCACAAAACAGGCTGTTGCATTAAGACTGCTGCAGCTAGCATTATTTTGTCAGTGTTGTTGGCTTGTAAAATTACAGCATCAGCAATTTGGACTATAATACACAATTGAATTGTATTGTTTTTGCAGAACTGATGCAATGAAAAGAAAGCATTCATCCTTTAAAATAGTATTTGTGATTTAAAACAATGATCAAGTGTTTTTTTCTGAAACTGGCAGCCTTACATCTCTCGCTGTATGGAGGACCACATAACAGCTTTCTATTGGGTTCTACAAACAAAAGGAAAACTGCCATTTTTGCAAAAAACAAACAAACAAAAAACAAACCCAAAACAAATAGTTTGTTGTATAAATCAAAGCATGAAAATCCCTATATAAAGGGGGGCCATTCTGTTCCTTTCCAGCATATTTTCATCTTTTGACTCCAGTAGAGTAGCTTTGCATAAGTCACAGGTCAAAAATAATTCTTATTTCTTACACAGCCCCTCACTTCATCCATTCTCTGAAACCCCCCCATTCCCTTTCCTTTAGGACTACTTTCTTATGACTCTCTGCCCTTTTCAAACAGATGTTTGGAGCAGCGGGTGGATGAGGAGATCCGCTCATTAACATCACACGCAGCCGAGAGAAGGAAAAACTGCATTTTTACATACACTAATCTCCTTATTTGAAACTTATGATGTATTTATTTAAAATATAAACATTCATCACTGCATGACATAAACTCACCAGCCAGTTTGTTAGGTACACCTGTTCAAGCTCTCTATCCATCCATCCATCCATCCATCCATCCATTTTCTTCCACTTATCCAATTCAGGGTCACAGTTGGGCTGGAACCTATCCCAGCTGTTTTAGAATTGGGGGGGGGGGGCACATATCGCAAATTTATCACAGGGCTATTACAGTCCTCATTAATGCAAATCTCTAATCAGGCAGTCACATGACAGCAACTCAGAAGATTCAGGCATGTAGACATGAAGGTAAGGGAAAGTTCAAATTGAGCATCAGAATGGGAAAGAAAGGTGATTTAAGCAACTCTGAATATGGGATTGTTGTTGATACCAAACAAATGGACTGAATAAATGATAAATGGACTTATATAGTGCCGTTCTAATCCATTTGAGTGCTAAAAGTTCTTTATACGACATTTTCCATTCACCCAAGCACTTTTTTCTACATAAGCGCTTTCTATCTAACAATCACACTCTGAGAGATGCATCAGAGAGCAACTTGGGGTTAGTGTATTGCCCAAGGATATTTGGAATGCAGACTGGGAGCAGTCAGGGATTGAACCATCAGCCTTCTGATTAGTAGATAACCTCCTGAGCTGCAGCCACCCCTTAGTAGTTCAGGATTTTAGTATTTCAGAATCTGCTCATTCAATCGATATCTAGGTTTTATAGAGAATGGCATGAAAAACAAAAAATATCCACTGAGGATAAATCCCTCAATGATGTCAGAGGAGAATGGTCGGACTGCTTTGAGCGGATAGGAAAACAGCAGTATTTCAAATGAACCCTTCTGCATACCTTGTTACAATTAAAGGTATGCAGAAGCAGAAGACCACAGCAGGGGTCATTTGATATCTGCAGTAACTGTGTGATGCTATAATGTCAATATGGTCCAAAATCTCTGAAATGCCACCGTGAATCTATGCCACGAAGAAATAAGGCAGTTCTGAAGACAAAGGATGGTCCAACCCAGTACCACCAATGTGTATCCAACAAAGTGGCCAGTGAGTGTATATGTTACAGAAAATACAGTACTGTTCAAACATCTTGAGCCACCTCTTATTTCTTTATATTTTGCTTGCAAGGAGCCAGACAAAGTGCATTTGAGCAATAAGCTTCTATAAGCTTTCTGAAGGTTATTCAAACATTTTCTTTGGACATTGGCTACTTTTTGTAAACCTATTGTCTCTCACCATTTTAGAGGTCTGTTAAGCTACTTAACACAGACCTATGACTCATTCAAGGATAAAAAGAAGACATCTAACTCGAGGAATGAACCAGTGTTGTGTCTACACGTAACAGAGAACTTAGCAGAGAGCCAAATTTAAATTCTATCTTTAGGCACTTTGTTACTTGCAGCCTGTCACAAAAACAGATGATTTGTTTTGATTTCTTTAGTTGAATGTAATCTGAAAAATGCCAAAGATAACACAGTTTGACAGGCACAAAATACGCTGCCATGTTCTACAGTATGTTGACTCCTCTATGACAAGAACTTTGTGACAGTGGGAAGGAAAAACTCCCTTTTAACAGGAAAAACCTCAGGCAGAACCAGGTTCAGGGAGGGGCAGCCATTCACTGCGACCAGTTGGGAGTGGTAGATGGCGAACTGTAGATGGATCCACTTACTGTGGACCCATCAGAAATGGTCTCAGTGAAAGGGTGGCTGTCAAGAAGCCATTCTTAAGAAAGAAAAACAGGGAGAAAAGACTGAGGTATGCCAAATTACACAAGAACTAGACTTGTCAGTGACAACAGGCCTTATGGAGTAATAAGTAATGACAGAACAAAAGGCAGCCAACATCCAAAGAAGAAGCTGAATGTCCTTGAATGTCAAGAAGCCTGGAGAACTATTTCTGAAGACTTCTTAAAGAAATGACACGAAAACCTGCCTAAGAGAGTTCAGGCTGTGTTGAAGAATAAAGGTTTGTCAAACCAAATACTGACTTTAGAATTGTACCACAAACAAAAAGCTTACCACTTATCTTGTCCAATTTTGAAAACACAGACTACAAACACTATGTAATTAATTAATTTCATTCTTCTTTTATGTAAAAACAAAAGAAAAATGTAAACGGAGAGAACGCATTCTGCAACTTCCATTCATCCTGCAGTACCAAGATTATTTCAGGACTCCTGCTTCCTAATGACAGAGTACAGGCACAGATTTCAAGGGTGAAAGACGAGTGCAATGCATAAAGAGCAGAGAAACTGGAGAGTTTAGGGCTACATACCTGCACATGCGCGCACTCATTTGCATTATCCAGGTTCCAGTTCATGTGACCTGCATGCCATTTGACTGTGTGAAGAAACAACTGAACACACTGTGCTGAGGAACGTTATGCAAATTAATGCTAAGATTCAAACTCAGGTCCTTCTTGCTGTGATGTGACAAGGCAAGGCAAGGCAAGGCAAGGCAAGTTTATTTATATAGCACAATTCAACAACAAGGTGATTCAAAGTGCTTTACAGAGACATTAGAAACAAGAACAAATAAAAAGCATGATTTAAAATTGAATAAAACAAGCAAATAAACTAACTAACTAATTAACAAACAAACAAACAAACAACAGTATATAACTGAACATTTCTGACACCCAACAAAGCACACTCTCCTTCCTTCCAAGTAAACTTCATGCACAGTCCAACTGCGGCATGTTTAACACGGTTATGCTTTGTTTCACAATAACAAGTGATTTTTTTTAAATTTATTTAAAATTATGCATATGGTGGGTTGCCATCAGTGCGACCAGATGATGTAGTACAGTCACACAGCAAAACCAGATGGCTGGAGAAGTGATAATGAGCTCATTCTGGCTTGCTCCAAAAGTCTTCACTTGCTTACAGCATGTAGAGTGTTAAATCAAACATAAATAGAATATCAGTATATCTATTCCTCTGCTATCACTATATAATTGCACATCTGGCAAATTACAAAAAGCTTTTATTCTTTTTTTTAAAACTTCTTCTAATCATCTGCAAAGCACTTACTACTGTTTATGCCAGCCTAGGTTTATTATCTTAAAATGGTTTTAAAAGCATGAAGATTATCTACACCTTGAAAGCCCGGCTGTCCCTTTGGGCATTCACCCAACCCAATCAACCCCCACACACCACTGCGCATCACCCGTCCTGCACTGCCAGCTCCTGAATGAACGTTACATTCATCCAGATGACTGTGGGGGGTTTTTTTCTTGATTTGCTTTGCACTCTCAAATGTTAATAAACTGGAAAGGCTGCACCTCCACACTTACTACATTAACACTGACAAAGCAGCCCATGCCAAGCGAGCGAGCGGAGAAGACAAACAGCTGCAGTAAATTCACAGCCTGACCTTCGTCAGTCTTGGATGGCGG